GTTTAAACTGGTCTGTAGTGAGATCGATTCTACCGGCCTACTGGAGGGAATTAATTTCCTTATACCGAGAGGAACACGATCTTCGGATACATTTGCTCACTTGTACTTACCAACTAACTACTCTCTCAATTGTGGATTGGCCAGATTGCAGCGTCTTGAAAACGAAGTCGGATCACAAGTTGACTTCTTCAACAAACAGTTGTCTTCCTTCAGAAGAAAATGCTCCAACATTATCTTTGTTATGCCTGTTTTGTAGCTGATGTTTGTTTGTTTTTCCTAAATCTCTTTCATTCTTGTTATTCATTCATAGATTTATTGTTCTTTGTTGTTATTTTTCACGTAGAACTTAAAATGTCATCATAGTTTATATTTTGTTAAATCTTGAGGAGATATTTGGTGTTGTTACTTTCAAAATCTATATGCTTTTTCTGAAGTCCAAATTAATATTAATTTTTTTTGTTGCCGTATTATTTTGTTAATGTTATTATCTGTAATTTTTATCACGTTGTTGTTTACTTGTTATTATTTTTTGTTGCAATGCTGCTTTGTTTCATGGTCATTATGTAAATTATCTTGTTATTTTTTTGTTGTCTTTTCATTCTGCTCATGTGCTTAAAACACATATTTTGTAAATGGTGTATCCGTTGATATGAATAAATAAATGAATAAATAAATTAAAGGTCTCTATCCCGTGACGGTGGGAAAAATAGTTGAATTCCCAAAACATTAACAGAAATTTAGATACGGTATAACAGTGAAATGTTCTCAATAAGAATAGCATTGGAAGCCACAAACAGCTGATTTTTGTTTACTTTAATAGGGTTGTTGATCGCGTTATATTTCCAAGCCAGTATACAATACACACAGTTGGTTTACTTATAAGCCAGTTAACTCTAGAATGCACTCCATACTATACTAAAACCAGACGTTATCTATAATTGAGACTTTTTGAAAACCAAAAACGAAACCAAAGATTTTCGTGTCAACTGTCAATATTGGCTTCGACAACTGGGAAATGGAACCCAAAAACCATAAAATATTACAAAATGTAGCTAATAAAACTGTTTATTTTGTATAGTACTTATTTACTTCCTTTAAGTTTCATCAAGATCGGATGGTCGTTTAGTAACACATAAAAGACAAACATTAGATCTCATACATATAGATAACAACAACGAGAGCAAACAGAGTGACTTTTTAGACAAAGATATGGTGTACAGGGATATCTATCTTGATAATTAAATAATTTGATACTTAGTTTGTTTGAATATTAAAATAAGTTGTTTTACATTTTGATCTTTTTAGTGACTTATGTCCCTACCTAGTGTAGTTTATGGATTTCATAACCATTATTTTACTATAAACCTTTGTATCCAACCACAATGGGCTCTGTTGCTAGTAAAATTAATAAACCATTAAAGAAATCATTTTGAGTTAACCAAGGGAACTGATGAGGTTATTACATAAAATGTGGTTTAATTGGTGGGATCAGTGTCTAGGAAGGTGAAAGTGGCCATTGTTGAATGGCTGACTGAGAACAACTGTGAATGCTGAATGCAGGAGAGTGGCTGGTCATTACCAGCTGTTATGAAGCTCAGCATCTGTAACTGCAGCTGTCATAAACAGCTGACTAGTGACTAATGTGAGCCAATGACCGGTAACACTCACACTCTGTATAACAGCTGATTACGCCTGCACTTCCTAAACACTGAAGAGCACCACAACACAATACATCACTACGAGGCTTCCTCATTGCTTCTGCCGGCCTCTACAGCTTATAGCTCCAGGTTATGCCACAGAGAAGTAAAGTACAGAGGAAGCTCGCTTATGGGACGACTGTGCGCTTTTAGCTATAGTAAGTTGTGCCCGAAATATACTTTTGTGAAGAGTAAGGGAGGCACGATTTTTATTTCAGCTGCAGTTTTTTAATACGGACAAAATGAGAGTTTAAAAATTAGAAATTAAAAACAAAATTATTATAGGCCTAAAACTAAAAAAAAATATATAATTATTTTTTTAATTAAACTGTCATAACCTAACTTAACCAACCAAACTTGCTGATAATGACAAAATTGAATGAAGGTTTACTAATAGAAAACCTATTTCTGTTCATAAGATAAAACTATAAATGCCTCAAATTAAATTTTATATTTTTTAATTATAAAATTAAACTGTCATAACCTAACCAAACTAACCAAACTTGCTGATAATGAAAAAATTGAATGAAGGTTTACTAATCGAAAAAATAGTTCTGTTCATAAAATAAAACTATAAATAGCTCAAATTCAATTTTATAATGTTTTAATTATAAAATTTAACTGTTATAACCTAACAAAACTAACTTAACTTGCTGATAATGCAAAAATCTTAGACAAAAAGTTTGTGCCCCAGATGAGTTTCGAACCTGGTACCATAAGATTCATAGCCCAGCACGCTATCCATTGGACCACCAAGGCCGATTGCTTCGTATCGTTTCATTGCGCTAATGGTGTTCCCTCAGCCAATAGAATGCTCTCATTTTATTATTATTAAAATAACTGCAGCTGAAATAAAAATTGTGCTAAGTTGTGCCCGAAATATACTTTTGTGAAGAGTAAGGGAGAGCCCAAGCAGCGAGCACTGTTTGGAAATTCCACAGAGCACAGAGTCTTACATGAGGGCGAGGGGGGTGGTGTTGGATTTGGCCCTATAAACCAGCAACTACTACTAGTGCTAAACACCACTTAAGTGTACAATTTAATGTTTCATATTATGTACCTTATTTCTCTGTAGTTACACTGGTGTCTAAAAAGATTTATCAGTTGTCGTGTGCAAAGAACTTTATTTTAAGCTCCATAATACTTTTGAAACCTACTAATTAGATATATATGAATAATATCTTAGAGACTAAGGTTTGTTAACTTATAGCTGTTAAATTAAATGACGAATCAGAAATAAAAATTGAGTAAAAATGGAACATGAAAAATCTGTTTGAAAATATCGAGTAATCAAATGTTGTAAGATTAACAATACATATCTAGGTAATTTAATCTACACAATTACCTAAAAATCATAATCATGGTCTCATAACCACACTGGAGTGAAGGAAAGAAATTGTTAAACAGAGAATATGGATGACGAGGGTGGGATAAAAGGGTAGTCTTGTAAAATGGAATACAAATCATCCCGTTACACACACGCACACACACTATATAGGCTACATATATATTGTCAGTATTTACACCAATAAGGGATACTTTTAATTTACATGTTAATCTTATGTAAACAAATTGTTTTTTTCTTTTCCGAGTTTGTTTGTCTCTTATACCCGACCGATGTTCATGATTGAGGTCTCAAATTGAAGGTATGCACTCACAGATTTCACATCAAGCGTCAGCATATATTTATCCACAGCCCCACTTGGCTTATATGTAAATAAAATTTCCTCCCCATGTATTTCTTATGGGAGTTCAATTTTGTTTTTCTTTTCCGAGTTCGTTTGGCTCTTCTACCCAACCAATATTCAAGATTGAAGTCTCAAATGCACATACAGATTTTACATCAAGCACCGTTATATATTTATCTACTGTATTACTAGACCAAAAAACCTAAATTTGATTTATTTTTGAATTCTTACTTTGATTAAAGATGTATTTCACCAGTTATAATTATAATCCTATATATTTTGGTCTAAGAACCTTCGGTGAAATACCGGCTTTCATTTAAGCTATTATAGTTACTCTAATCGGACGAGTTTCAAGCAAACGCAAGGTGAACAAGCAACAAAATAATATTATTTGCTATAAGGGTTTTCTATGATTGAAATCAATAGCTCCAGTATTGTTTATGTTTTTTTTTATGCTTTAGACTCAAAATAATCAGTAAATTATATTCTTTAATTTGAACTACCGGTATTGATCGTTTGAATCAGTCAAATTCAAGATACTGTATTACTCAATCAAAAATCATAAATATGATCATCTTTCTGATATGATATTTATTTCAACGCAGCGGAGCAGCTTGGGTCCTCAAGTGTACCGGTATAGTTGAATACATTATTGAAAACTACTTACCTTTTTATTAGACAACTATATTTATATATATTTTGATAGGAATAGTGCTTTTGGCCTCTGGGCACATCCAAATGAAAAAGTAAATTGGTCCCGGGTGTAGGTCTTTCCTTGCCGCCAATGGTAATAGCTAGGGAAATTCACCCAAACAATGTAATCATGCCAATCCTATAGCTTACCCAACAACTTATAAGAACATAAACGTGTGATAACTGTGGTGCATTTGACATTGGATCTGTGGTTTGTTTAAAGACATTTCCTGAATTTCTGTTTGCTGGCATCATTCAGCCTCTACTCTCTAGTAGGCTACCAAGGATAGCAACCTTTACTTTAATCTCAGTTACATAAGGTGGATGTTATTGTTAATGCATTACTCCTGTTATATTCTTGTTTGTTAATCCTTTTCAAACTGTTAATACACCTATGTAAAATAGATGTTAAGACCCCAATTTGTTCAAACTTAGTGTGTGAAAGAAATAACTTGGTTTACTTTCAGTATACATAATATAATTTTCTTTACTGTAACTATTATTGCATGATAAACTTTAATATAATAACAATAGCCTATAGCATCTAACAACAGACAAAATTATACCTATGGATATTTACTATACACTTCAATTATATTTACACATTGAAAAGTAGGAACATGGGGAAATAATACAAGCATATAATATACCTTTTGTCATACTGCAGCAAAAACTGCCGTTTTTAATGCATATGCGTTGTGGGTCTAAAAGTATCATTTTTACTCTCTAGGGATTAAAGTGTGTTTTAGCCCCTATAGGGAGTGAAAATCAGCTGACAACCCAATTGTAAATTTTAATTGTGAACAATCGCATGTATTGAAAGTATTTATCAATTGTAGCTTATTGTTGCCTTATTGTAAATAGTTCGACATTTTGATAGTAACTTTTTATGTGTTGCTGGAGTGTGTGGTGTGGAGGGATCATCCCCTGTGGTGGTCACAATGCCCTCAGTACCACTGGAGGACCTCACTGCCTTTGTAGGACACACTCATGCAGCCATGTAATGTCCACAGGTTATGTGTTGCTATGGAGTGTGTGGTGTGGAGGGATCATCCCCTGTGGTGGTCACAATGCCCTCAGTACCACTGGAGGACCTCACTGCCTTTGTAGGACACACTCATGCAGCCATGTAATGTCCACAGGTTATGTGTTGCTGGAGTGTGTGGTGTGGAGGGATCATCCCCTGTGGTGGTCACAATGCCCTCAGTACCACTGGAGGACCTCACTGCCTTTGTAGGACACACTCATGCAGCCATGTAATGTCCACAGGTTATGTGTTGCTATGGAGTGTGTGGTGTGGAGGGATCATCCCCTGTGGTGGTCACAATGCCCTCAGTACCACTGGAGGACCTCACTGCCTTTGTAGGACACACTCATGCAGCCATGTAATGTCCACAGGTTATGTGTTGCTGGAGTGTGTGGTGTGGAGGGATCATCCCCTGTGGTGGTCACAATGCCCTCAGTACCACTGGAGGACCTCACTGCCTTTGTAGGACACACTCATGCAGCCATGTAATGTCCACAGGTTATGTGTTGCTATGGAGTGTGTGGTGTGGAGGGATCATCCCCTGTGGTGGTCACAATGCCCTCAGTACCACTGGAGGACCTCACTGCCTTTGTAGGACACACTCATGCAGCCATGTAATGTCCACAGGTTATGTGTTGCTGGAGTGTGTGGTGTGGAGGGATCATCCCCTGTGGTGGTCACAATGCCCTCAGTACCACTGGAGGACCTCACTGCCTTTGTAGGACACACTCATGCAGCCATGTAATGTCCACAGGTTATGTGTTGCTGGAGTGTGTGGTGTGGAGCGATCATCCCCTGTGGTGGTCACAATGCCCTCAGTACCATTGGAGGACCTCACTGCCTTTGTAGGACAAGCTCACACTGCCATGCACCACAGGTTCCACCAGCTGGAGCCTGCCATACATCGTAAAGGTAACTAACATTGATACTCATCACAAAGTAAAGTGAAAACCTTGAGGCTAATTTGTTGAGGTTACCTTAGGGTAGTACAGAATAGTTCCCCCACCACCGTTCCCTTACTCTGTTAACATGTATTAAACTAGATAAACAATAAATCTTTAGATGACTGTACAAAATAATATACAGAAAGTACAATAATAATATAATCAATGATGGTTTTCAAGTGTGAATATGTGTGCACTGTGCAGGTATCAAGCAGACTCCTGGCAGTCCAGAGTGGTTCATGTCTGTGTCTCATTCGCCCAGAGAAGCTACTCGTAACCTCACACATGTGGCACTGCTAGCCGAGGAAGCCACCAAGTACATGGCGCAAGCGTGAGTAGCTGGGGTTGCAAAACATTATATTTATATGTCATAACCTGCCTTGATTCCATGGGCTGCTTGGTAATTAGTGAAGATGGATTGTTTTAAGTGCTTGTTTCAATAGTCCTCTTGCTACATCGATCACTATCAGTTTGTGCTGCATTTGCAGTTACGGTAGGATACTTCGTCATTGAAGAATATGCTACCAAAAGTGCATAAACAAATTGTGGACAAATCATAGCACAGCGATTTCTGTTTACTACCACAAAATATGATAAAAGACCTTTATTTACACAACCCTCCTCTTTCATTAGGAATACATAGGTACACTCATTGTAATTTATATTTGAAATAAATAATTTTTACTAAATTTTAATAGCTCCAAAAATTCAAAATAATTATTATATTTTAAATTTAAAAACTATATGGCCTTATGGTTTATCCCACATTGCTGACAAAAAAATATTGCTGACAAACATTGTTGTGTTAAGAGAGATAAGTTGCAAGTGTTAAACAAATAAGAAAATGTTTAGAATGTTAATTTGGTAATGTTGTAATTGTTGATTTCAAATAAATAATAATCAGTTGTTTGTTCTGCTGTAGTCTTGGTCTGACGGCAGAACAGGTTCACTTTGGTTTGCCAGAGATGGACATCAGTGCGACAGCCCTGACGGAGTTTTGCCCCTCCACTATGGAGTTGCCGTGTGAGCCACACAAGTACCGAGCCCTCTCTGGACACTGCAACAACGTGCAGAATCCCCACTGGGGCACGGCCGGCTCACGCTACGTACGCTTCCTACCACCAGACTATGCTGATGGGGTTACACTTCCCAGGGGTGTCGTCACCACCAAGAGGTTAGTATGCCTTCCTACATGATATAAACAATGATGTCAGCGCTAAAGCAAGGATTTGTTATTTAAAGTCCCAGTTAGGAATTTTTTTGTTCCCACTCAGTGCAAAATTTGTTGTAACCAAGTTTTTTTTCTTAGACAAAAACCTCAATACACTAATCTTCATCACTGGCAGGCTTATTTTTTAACTTGTCTGTATAACAGTACTAAAAGGCTAGAGCGTGCTAGTACTTTGCTGCATACTGAATGTAGAAACATGGCGACACCAAAATGGCATCACTGGCCCTCTACACACATCAGACCAAAGTATATTCTACTATCAAGGATGGATGCAATAACTTAATATTTATCAGAGTCGGTTGTATACTTGATGTTTTGTTTGTTGACAGCTCCAAGGGCCTGCCCAGTGCCAGACAAGTATCCCTGGCAGTCCACAGCAATGTAGACGTTCCACACGCTCACCTAGTCTCTTTGTTTCCTGTATGGGCACAGTTCATCTCTCATGATCTCTCTCTCACACCACAGATGACAGGTTTGTTTACCTACATTGGTCAAGATTAAACCAAAATATTGGGCAGTGACTGTGATGTAGGATACTACATTGAAAACTAGAAGACACCAAAAATATATCACAATATGTAAAGATCTATTGGTGGTTCTAACATCTTGTCAAGGGGAGGGGGGCTAACGGGGTGTTCCACACTAGGAGAGGGGTCTAGAGGTCCTTCCTTGGAGAAAGCCCCCTTCTTGAAACTGCCACTAGATATCAATTATTTATAAAGAAATAGTGAAATTGTTTACCATTCTTATCTGGCAGTGGTTCAGCATGGTATATGGCCTAAATAATATTTGGGGTAATAATATCAGCGGAACACATTTAAGGGTGTCCTTAAATCAAGAACCCCACTTGCTATATATCAATCTGTTCACTGTGACTTATACTTATAAAACATATATATAAATATAATCAGTGGTGGATAATGACCTCAGCGGCCCCTAGGCACATGTCAACTTGCCCCCCCCCCCCCCCAGCCCGATGGGCGTCGTTTCAGACTTTTAACTGGGGTGGCAAGATCAACCAGGTGGACGGGGCGTCCGGAAATTTTAAGAAACTGGTTTTAAATTTTGTTACTAAGCTTTTTCAAAATATTTTTAAAAACAATTTAATTTTTATTTTTCTGTCTGCGGCCCCTGAGACCTGTGGCGCCCCTAGGCAGTTGCCTATCGTGCCTAATGAGTAATCCACCACTGTATATAATGTCTTACAAGAATCAACAGTCAATAAATAAAAGATCTTGTATAGTACCGGTGGCTTTTGTAGTATGGTAAGTTAATTGATGATGTTTAATTTAATGTTTTGGTTTACATTAAAGACAAAGTTTATTTTCTTTGCTCATGATAGATTCCATAAGTAGCATAGTGACTTTTCTTCTATGTTTATTTTATTGTATTCAAGGTTTTAATGGTGAGAGATTGAAATGCTGTGGCATTGACTTCAATGACTTCCATCCGGAATGCTTTCCCATTCGGCTGCCGGACAACGACCCTGTATATGGACCAATCAGACAGCGTTGCCAGGAATACACCAGATCAGCCACCACACCTCGCACCGGCTGCACCTTAGGTAGCAGCATAGTAACTACTCAAAAAGTAGATTGAGGAAACATGTTCTAGAATTTTTTATTTTAAGTTAACAGGTTAAAAATCATTTGCAATAGTCGGGAAGAAAGTCAGCATAAATGATTTAATTGGATGAAAGTTCTATATTTTAGCATATAAATTATCTTATGACGCTGTCCGATTATCCGCAGTACTATCCTGATAATTAGACCAATTCGTATACTGTATGTATAGGAAAAAAGTGGTTCGGATTCCACTATAAAAAAACTGTAGGTCCCTTAGTCGCCATTAGCTGTATTGGCTATTAATTAACAGCTGTGTCTAAGGAATATGTCGGCCTTAGTCACTAACAAGACTACAAGATCGCGCCACTCATCCTACACTCATCTCCATTCATACTTGGCTTAAAATACCTACTTTGTATGGTCGCCATTTCAAAGAAAAGTATTAAAGTATCCCAGTTTTATCCCATTTTTAATCTAGAGGGGTTTTGATTGCCCTTCTTAAATGTCAGCCTTCAATATCATGTGGAAGAAGACATGATATTGAATAATAAGAAGACTTGAGATAATATAGTTCATTTAGTTAAATTGTGTTCCTTCAAAGACATTTTTCAAAGAAATTATAAAGTACTAGCAGAGTACCCGTCCTTCGTACGGGGTTGGCATATAAGTATAAAATGTGTATTGCAGTCATACTCCAGCTTTGCGTTTGCAATAGAGGAGGACACGGTTTGATAAAATTTGCTTCTTTAAATTTACGGTATACTATAGTATTACACATCTACCATAGCCATAATGTTCTACCACTTCACCTAAACAACAGAGAAAAATAAATTATAAAAAATTCGTAAAATATCACTAATTATTCATGAAAAATTAAAAACATAAACATAACTATAATCAATCCTACTTTTACAGTTTTCATTGTCAATCACAGTTTTTTGTTGCTGCTTAGTTCAAATTAGCCGTTTTCATAAATGCAAAAAAAAAAAAAAATAATATTGCTGCACCCTTGGTAAATCTTATAACTTTTTAATGCTTTTCATGTCATAGAACCAACTTTTTTAGTTGAAACAGCTGACTAATCCCTTTAAATATGAATATTCATAAGGTTAACATAGGGAACTGCAGAGCCACTGGGGCGGAGCCCGAAAGGATTTTTGAGATAAGAATATGCCTATATGTTAATCGGGAACAAGAGCTACCATCATGCCAAATTCAGCCCAATCCGTCCAGTAGTTAATGCGTGATTGAACTTCAAACAAACAAACACACAAACTTTCACATTATTTATAATATTAATAAGATATTCATTCAGTAGATGCAATAGATAAACAGGAACGTAAGAAGTAATGTATGTACACAGGACCAAGGGAACAAATGAACGATGCAACATCATTTCTGGATGCCTCGGTGATCTATGGAAACTCACAGCAAGAGTCTGACGCCTTGCGGACATTCAAGGGAGGAGAGCTCAACGTGCAAACCAGCGCCAACTATGGACCTCTCATGCCACCTGGGGAAAACAGCTTCAACTGTAGATACAGCATATCACACAAGTAAGAGTGAAAATTGGGTTATTCGGTTTAGTGTTCAGATTTATTTCCTTTGGAAAATTGAAGATGATGAATGCTCAAAGATTATTTGCAGATTTAATTTCATGTTCCCTGTATTTTTTGTAGGGATGGATGAGACTGGACTTTAATTTCTAGATGGGATCGAGATGAGACTCTTTTTTCTCAACATAATTTGAGACGAGATTATATTGCTATTGGGATTCATTTGTTGGTGCAGTATTACAATGCTTAATAAATAACAATAAAGCACTATAAAAACAACAACTAAATTATTTACAATAACTAATTATTTATTACAAAAAGAGGTTGATAAAAAAAGAGTGTTACAAAATATCAAAAGCTAACAAAAATTTAAATACTTATGAAAATCTTAAATAAAAAATATAAAACTAAAATAAGACATTATTCTGTAAAACTGTAACATGCACGCACACCACAATTAACTGCATCACACAACAAAAACAGTCTATAATAGAAAAAAAATAATAGTAGCTTGTACGGTGTTACTTCTGATTTCGGTGATAATGATATCATATATATAGTAAAACCTAGTATATCCGGTATGGACGGGATCAGGGTCATAACGGATAAACTAATAACCGGATAAACCGATTTTACCGATGTTTGAGATGGAGGTACACTGTTAAAAACTTCTTCAGAAAGTCTCTGCAATACCCGTTATACAGGATAGCGTTGTTGTTACGTTCCCTTTGCGAAGGCGTTCTTAGTATTTTTTATTTATTTGCTTATTTAAAAGTCTTGGAGCAAAGTCAATCTCGTTTCAACACACAAAATTGTTTTAACTCTAAAATTTCCCAAAAATTCTAGACTTGTCTATCCCTTATTTTTTGTAAGGTTGAATAAAAATTATGCTTATTTGCTGAGTGAAACCCCTTCTAAATTTGTTACTATTAAACAGCAATCTCTACTGCTTAATATTTAAGTTCCCAAAATTCTCCTATCATACCAACAATCAAGAAGAGCAGGCTATATTTGTCGTTTGACTGTGAAAGAGTTTAGTAGAGTGCAATGTTTACCATTAGTTTTTTTTATAACAAATTATGTACACTTCCTCTCATATAGGGAGGATACATTAGGATCAGGACATTGTCTGCAAATATAAATAATCCGAACCATCAGAATTTAGTATAAGTTGAATAGATACCCTTCAAAACAATCACTAAGTCTATCACATAAAAACAGCAATACCATACCATACCAAACCATTATAGAATACAGCGAAAATATCAATAATAAGCCAAATACAGTAGCTCTTAAAGGTCAGGTTGTTTGTGACTTGTTTGTTTCATGGCTTAATGTAGAAGCGTGTGTGTGAATAGGTCATACAAAGGTGGATTTCTAAATCATTTGCAGGCTGAACGTTCCACCGGCGCTGTGTCTCGTGAATCAGCGTCTGGTCGACCAGTTTATTAAATGTATTTTCGTGTGTGTCATATCCGTATGTGTGTCCCGTTTATTTATTTGTTTATTTTTGACGAACTCTACATGAGGGATTAGCAAGACATTCTGGACCTGAAGATGTGCTATTTTTTAAGCACGAAACAGCTGTAGTCATCATACTACTAAACTGATCGTTTTGACAGAAAACAGGTAATTTAAACCTATATTAGTTTATATGTTTCTGTTTGCTGAAAGCAGCACAGTATCGTCTGCATACATGATCATCTTGCTGTATTCCTCAAGGTGTTCCGGGAAGTCATTAATATAAACAGCCCAAACAGAACTGGCCCTAGGACAGAGCCCTAGAGAACTCCTCTGTTAGTCGGTAGCAATTCAGATCAGACAGTATCTGTAAACCCTTTTGTTGTGTGTTCTACCATTTGGCTTCGCCCTTTTAGATAACTTGTAAAACATTTCAGAGCTGTTCGCTGGATTCCTAAATTTAGAAGTTCAAATAGAATAAGATCATGTTCCAAGGAATCAAAAGCCTTGCTTAAGTCAAGATACAGGCTGGTGATAGTGTTGCCATTTTCTATGTTCTCGTTAGTCGTTCTCAATGATATATTCAACAAGGTCTATAAGAGCAGTTGTGGTTGATTTTCCAGGAAACCCATGTTGGCTGTTTGTCAATGCTTGGTTTTGACTATGATGCTCCTGGATTCTTACTTTTATAATCTTCTCTATGATTTTGGAGACAGCTGAGAGCAGCAAGTTAGGTCGGTAGTTAGAGATGTTTTGTATGTTTTCAACTTGGTTGGAAAAGTCCCCTCTGCCATCGACATGTTTACAATCTTCATTAAAAGCATTATTAATTCATCTGCACACGTTTTAAAGATTTTTGAAAATATTTCATCAATGCCTGATGATGTGGAGTTCTTTAGTGATTGAATGGTTCTGCCTATCTCGTCAGGTGTTGTTGGACGGAAGGAAGAGAGAGTGTAAAATGTGGTAGCTGGAGGATTTTGAGCTATTGGTGCTGTGTTGTATCTGCTGTTTTGTTTTAATGTTTCCTCAGCTATGTTTACAAAATAATAATTAAATCGGTTAGCTACATCTTTAGGGTCAGTAAGTTTCTTTCCGTTGTCATTTAATTCTATTGTAAAATTGTTGTCAAGCTCTTTCCTCCCTTTCCTCTCACTATTGATGGTGTCCCATATGGCTTTGGCTTTGTTTTATGCTTGTTCAATGTATGCAGCACTTGTTTCTTGCCTTGCCTTTTTTAAGTTTTGGTCGTAAGATTTCTTCTTATCTGTAGCTATTTTCTTGTCACCAGGATGACCAGTTAGGAGAAATTTCTCTTGTACTATTAAAAACACCTTTTCAAGTGTCATAGCTTCTTCATCATACATCAGTCGTTTACCCCTTTTTTGTGTAGTCCGAAATCTTTTTTTGGACATGCATGATAAATTGCAAGCTGGAGCGTTTGGTTGAAGTTAAAAGTAGGCCTCTTCCACATCATTTGTTCTCAAAACAGGATCCCAGGTTACAGTGGAGAGCTCATTTTATAAGATCAGAAGATTGTTGTGGTTAAGGTTCCGTCGTGATGTATATGTTGTTGCTGCTTTTGTTTTTGGAAGGTCCAGTGTGCAGTATTGTCCTGTGTGGTCTGATAGACCTGTGTGAGAGACCACAACTTTAATCATGTTGTGAATATTTGAACACACCATATCAATTGAGGTTGCTGAGGTCTTTGAGATTCTTGTGGCTGGGAGCTCTAGTCTTCTTATGTTATTTATACCCATGCAATAGTGAATTTAGTGTAACAGATTCTCTAGAGACCTCATCCAAAATGTCAATGTTAATGTCCCCCATGATAAGTGTGTCAGTTTTCTGAGTAGGAAAGGCTGTCTAGTGCATCTGACAGAACTTGTAGTGACGTATCAATGTCAGCACAAGGTTGTCGATAGACTCCAAGGAGCAAAAGGCTCTTCTTCCTGTTTATGTGTATTTTTATTGCTGTTATTTCACATACCATTTCCAAGCTGTATCCTTTTTATCTCTAGACTTTCGGTTTTGTTGGTTTTATTGTTATGCAACCCCTCCTTTGATATGTTCTTTCCTTCCACATGCACTGATAAGTGTGTAGTCAACCAATTTAGCATGGTGTATTGCATTACTTTTTAGTCCATGTTCTGTAAGAATTACAATGTCCGGGTTAGAAGGTGTTGCAGTCTTTCAATTTTGTTTGTCATCCTGTCCATGTTTTGGTGAAAGAAGGTAAGTTGATTTGTATTTGAACTTGCTGTCTTCTTTGTAGGTTAGCCTGTTTGCTGGGTGCATCGAGCTTACAAAGATTCTGGTTTTGAATTTTTGTTTGAATTTGTTTGTTTTTCTTGAGTAAAGGTCTAAAAAATTCTTGTTTTTGTGTGTTTAGGCATCCCTCTTTTGTTTTGGTGGTGAATAGTCAATTGGGAAATGAAACGGACCTGTGCTTGTGTTATTATGTAATGACTATTATTGTGCGTAGGGGTGAGTGGTGGAGAAGGTTGGTTGGGTGGATTTACGTAGAGATCTTGTGGGTTGGTCTTGTGATGGTTTGTACGGTCTTGTGAAGTTTTTTGTGTCGGGGTTTGGCTGGCTCCCCCAGTATGCTTCATGAAAATGTCATCCAAAGTTTCCCAGTCGCCTCGTATTCTTGCTGTCATAGGTGGAAGCCTCTCCTTTTGAGTCAGTTTTTTTAGAATGAGTTTGGCTGTTTCTCCTGGTCATATCCGGGTTCAGATTTTTGAAAGGAGTTTGGCTGTCTCTCCTTGTAGTTTCTTGTGTCAGGATGTCAGCATCACATTTCTGTTTTACACCATCTACCTGTAAGCCTATTTCTACATTGGCAGGTTCTTCAAGCCGAGCTTTGTTTTTGGCTACTTGGAGAGATACACTGAAATGGTTCCTTTCCTTCCCAATTGGTTTTTTGCTCTTGCTTAATTAGGTTGTGGTTTTTAGAACAAGGAAAAGTTTCTTTAGTGGGTGTACTTTGTGTGACTGCTGATGGTGTAGCAGGGTTTGTTAGTTCACCTTGTTTGTGCAGTTCTTTTTGCAAAGTTTCCACAGAGCGTTCTAGTTAGTATTGTCGAGTTTTCAGCTGAGCCAGCTCAGTAATTAGAGAGGCACAGTAGTTGGGAAGATAAGGAGTGATTTGGTTGTGTTTCCTGAAGTGCCAGTAGGTTTTGGTGTCCGAGGTAGGTCCGTTTTGTCATCTGGGTTTAGTTTCAGCTTGTTTATCATTAACCTAATTGCTTAATTTCATTTGCTGAGTCGAGTAATAGTTTTTCTCTTTCATTATCTTGTTCTTCAAAGGTTTGTATCATGTTAATTCTTAGTTGTCTTTCCTTCTCTAGTTGGTGTTCTACTTCATTGAGTGTTTCAACCAGTGAAGCATTTCGGGAGAGCAAGATTTCCTTGTCATTTTCAAGCTCTTCAATTTTTGCCTCAGCAAGGTTCACCTCAGCAAAGTTATCTTCTCTGAAGTCTTGGCATTTTAAGGAAGAGAATTTTTCTTACTCTAGTTCTTACTCTAATTCTTCTCTAGTTCTTGCTTTAATTTATTATTTTCTAACAGTAAAGCATGTCCAGCTTCTGCAGCAAGTGTGAGCGATGTCTCTAGATCATAAGGATTTTGTTCTTGTTCTTGTAAATCTTGTACTTTATTTAGGACATCTCTGAGCTGCTGATTTTCTAGTCGAAGGACATTACCGTCTACTGCCGTGTTTCTGTCAGGGTTCAAGCATTTTGTGTTTGAGAAGGCATTTTCTGCTTCTTTAAAGGCTTTGTTGAACACTATATTTTTAAAATTGTCTATTTTTGGTTTTCCATAGAGATCTTTCTTTACTTTGTTCATAACAATACATATCAGTTTCTCAAACGTCAGCAGTGTGTTGTTGTCACCAAAAAATTACCTTATATTTTGAGATGCAATTTTTGTCATTTGTACAAATTTTAGTAATTTTAGCTGGCCAGTGTGGGTACCCTTTTAATTTTAAAAACACAATTTGTCCGGTGATAAAGCTAGTTTTGTTGCTTATTTTCATGTTAGTTAATCCAGTTGCTGATTCAGTTTTGGAAAGTTTGGCTGGTTCTTTATGTCAGGGATCTTAGTTTCAGGTGTAAAATTGTATCAGTTTTGAAAAGTTTGGCTGGTTCTTTATGTCAGGAATCTTGAGGTTCAGGTGTAAAATTATATCAGTTTTGAAAAGTTTGGCTGTGAGTAATTCCTACGCGATCATATTTAATGCTTATTAAATGACATATTATTAATGCAGTAACCAAACATCCTGTCGTAGATGCTTCAAGGCTGGAGATGTGAGAGCCAATGAGTACGTTGGGTTGACGGCCGTCCACACACTCTGGGTGAGAGAACATAACCGCGTGGCTCGGCAGCTGCGGCAACTCAATCCTCATTGGCTGGACGAGATACTCTTCCAGGAGGCTCGCAGGATAGTCATCGCCCAGCTGCAGCACATCACATACGCTGAGTTCCTGCCTCTGGTACTGGGGAAGGTAGGCGTTTAAAGGAATAATAAGAACAAACATTACTTCCCTTTAGTATCCCTGAAACCTGCGTGAAACTTGATCATATTTTGTAAAACTTTTGATACTGTACTACTTTTGAATGAGGCAATTGAAGTTGGCAGTTAGTTAATGTGGTTAAAACACTATAAGCTGATAATCATAAATTATAGAATTTTTGTAAATCTTTCCTTACAATCTAAGGTTTGCTATTCTTCATTAGGCATTAATTCTTTAAATTACCATAAGGATAACAATGATAATTCCTTTATATTTCCATATATTAATTGTGAACAGATAAATAACCACTAATATATTTCATGCCCAGGACACTATGACCAGCTTTGGCATGGAGCTAGCGAGGGATGACTACTACAAAGGATACAACATGAATATCAACCCTGGTGTTGCAAATGCAGTTGGCGTTGCTGCGCTTTACTTCTTTATTTCTCTCATGCCCAAGAAGTTTGATATTTTTGACAAGGTATGGACTATTAAGTGATTTCAATTACAATAATTAATACTAGTGCTAAGTGTTAGTGTTATTATGTTAAGGGGGCATTAAAGTTCATATTAGGTAATTTTTAACCTTAGGTTTACCCGGTTTAGGATGTTCTAATGGTTGTATTTGATTTTAAAATTATTTAATGTAGGAAAACAAATATAAATAAATTTTCAAATTTAATATTACTGGAACTATATCATAATATTCTTAAACTTTTGATTTCTTACCTACTTGTCCTAAAACGCAAGTAGTCCTGACTATTATCAAGCTGAGCATTCACCAAATAAAATTTTTAGCATTATAATTGGCTGAAAATTATATCAAAGTATTTTAGTTAAGTTTCTGGAACCAAATATTTCAATCTCAGTTTAGAGATCTCCCCTTATCAGGAACAGGTTGATCAATGACCATATCATATACCTCATGATCAGTTAGTTACACATTACCAGTCCCAGTAATCAAAACATATTATAAATTGTATGTGAAGCCAAGTGGTCATAGTGCTCGGCTCAAATGTTAAGATTGCTAATTTGATTCAAAGCGGGGTTGATTCTATTTCCAAATTCCAATTGTCATGGGGCTATCAGATGCTTTCTGGCAAAAGATAAACATTATATAGTAAAAAGACAAGGATTAGGACAGCCTAATCCTTGTCTGCCCTGCCTCTTAAAATAATTGTAGTAAGAAATGCTAATGGTGTTAACAAATTCATCATCTATAAATTTCAGAGTGGCAAGAGGATAGGAGATGAATCGATCAGTAAGACGTTCTACGCACCATTTGACCTGTACAAGGTGGGAGGGTTTGACTCAACGATCCGCAGTCTGCTGCAGAGCTCTGCGCAGAGCCATGACCCCCACATCAACTCTGTCTTCACCAACCACATGTTCCAAGTCACTTCTGGAGGTATCTAGATAATAATTGAGCAATAATGTAGGTAGCCTACAGAGTATAATCAATCAATTAATAATGGTTTTAGCATTTAAAAATAGTTCTCAATGTCTGAAACATATTTTATGTTATTTATAATGCTAGAAAGGTCATCTGAGATTTCCTCGAATGTGGTGAAGTTGTAAATATAAATCTTAAAATGTACCAAACTTTCTACTTACTAGCAATCTAAGATTATCCTATAACACCCAAACTGTCTTAAAAACTTCCAACAAAGATGAACTTTTGAATGTTGTGCAAGAATTGGGGTAGCAGAATTTCCCCCCACCCAAAAGCAAAACAGCCAAGGGGGTATAATTCCGCAATTCCAATTTTTACATAACATTCAAAAGCACATCTATGTTAGAAGTTTTTAAGACATTTTTGAGTCATTAGACCAATTTATTTTTCATTATTTATTCGTCTATACTACATGTGTGTTACTACAACATGTTACTTGTTATCCCCAGGTAAGGGCCTGGACCTAGCGGCACAGGTGATCCACCAGGGCCGAGACCATGGTCTGCCCTCGTACACCATTTGGCGAGAGTTCTGCGGCTTTGGTGCGGCGACGAGCTTCTCTGACCTTAGAGTACATATGGACCCTGCGGCTGTAGCTGCCCTTCAGTCTGTCTACCAGTAAGATAAGGTTTTCCTTTTATTTTTCTTTACTCTTTAATATACTCTATTCTTTTTTACCTAAAACGTTTCATTTGCAAGTACTCACAATTCTTGGATTTGTATTCACTTTTATTTATAGTTGGCACTTCATAATCCAACAGTTGAATGTTCAACACAATCAGATTCTAGGCTAAATAAGTTACTATAATGGTAGATTTCCATACGGTTTTTCAATTCAATTCATTACACATTCAAAAATTATTTTTCATCAAATAATGCCTTCACTATTTAATTTCTCTCCTTAATAGTCATAGAGTACATTTTATAATAATGATATCAATCATTATAATTTGGCGTGTCTACCTAAAAGCTTAGACTGTCTTAGCTTTAGGTTGATTTTAGTTTTATTTTTGTAATCAGATATTTTTGGAATTGAATTCCCACTTGGCTCAATAAAGTGTTGGATTATGAAGAGTCATCTATGCTATGTTACAATCGATCGTTCCGTTATTAAATTATCTACCATGGCACAAGAAATACAAAACTTACCACTATCCGCAAATACTAGAATTAATGATTTTCACTGACAGTAATTTAAATCAAGGAAGGTTTAAGTTAACCTTGCAACTTAAACCTTTTGAATATGAATACAATTATTGTATTCCGATTCAACGGTAGCCAGGAAGTCCAACAAATGAATTATGGAGGACGAGCATAAATGTTAATAGGTATATAGTAATCATATCTTTTGTCATGGCCTATATCTCCTCATCCGATTATTTATTTATTAAAAACACATTAAAAAATGCTATGACAGAATCATACAAGCACAGCAATGTCAAACTAAACTGTACAGGAATGTGAGTGACATTGACCTGTTGTCTGGAGCGCTATCAGAGAGGCCGGTGAATGGCTCCACTGTGGGACCTACACTCCACTGTCTGCTGGCCCGACAGTTCAGCCTGCTGCGGTCTGGTGACCGACACTGGTACGAGAGTGACGTGCCACCCTCGTCTCTCACCAGAGAGCAGCTCAAGGCAGTGCGCAGAGGCGCGACACTGGCGCGCATCATCTGTGACAACAGTGACGACATACACACGATCCAACCTCAGGCATTCCTGACCCCAGACCCTTACTTGTGAGTCACCTTTAATACACTTCTTGTCAATTATTATAGTGATGAGCGGGATGCACCGGGGCTCAATAACCCCCCACCCCCCGCCACCGTTAGAGTAATTTATTACCACTAGCATCGAGTATAGCGTGTCACTCTCAGTGTTGTTGGAAGCCTTTCCCTACACACCATCCTAATTGACAATAACTATACACAATTTAAATAGAGTTTACTTTTATAAACCACATTAAATATAAAAGTAACAAAGCTGAATTTAATGATCTACAATCATACGATATTCTGTCAAAATTTAAATGGATGGGAAAAGTACCCTTACCAGGATCACTTTCATTGAATTTTCCGATATTTTCAAATTTTTACTCTCATTCTGTTCGATTACAGTAAAAAAATTATAATTCACATACTACACATGTATGTGAAATATTATTTTTCGTGCTTTAAATTCCCTGCTGTATAGTAAAGTTTATGTTTGTGGTAAAAATGAATAATAATTTCTTTAGGACAGCAAAACACATATGGTTGCATGTTTTAAACTGAGAATGTGTGGACAGTGAGTGTTGAATAAAACACTCGTAATAAAGATAAAATTGCAACTTTGTTTCCAAGACCAGCTGTGCAATGATGGTATTTTGTAGGAACTACTACATGAGCTGCAAGTCAGGAGCCATCCAACCTCTGGACCTGAGACCCTGGAGGGAGGTCCAACCTCAAATACATATCTCACCCAAACTATTGACTGAGGTTGTGGCTCGGGCCAAGAGAGAGCTGGACAATCAGTGGGAGAAGTACAGAGGAAGTGAGTTGACAAGATGAAACTTAAACTAATATTTCAGCAACAATATATGAAATATTATTTTTTTATTATTTTGAAGTTTTTCATAATTTAATAACTGAACACTGTACCACAAAAATAGGTAATTTGTAAATACTCCACTCTTCTGGTGATAAGTACCGTAACACTATAAAAGTAAACATTAGCCTACCTGTTCCTGTTTCAAAGTGTGATTTTTATTTTAAGGTCAACCAGCAGATCCCCACTCTCCCATTGGAACCGCTTTTGGTTTCAGTCGACCAAAACGCCAATCAGCTATGTTATCTAATGCATCTTTCCTTCTGGAATACACCACAGCCAACATGATCAGAAGTTTCCTACAAGGGTAATAAATGTTTTACTATATAAGAATGACTTTTGTTTTAGTTGTGAAATTTAAGATTCTGCAATTTCGTTCCTTGAAATTATAGGTAGACTGCTCATCCAAAGTGTCTAACACATTTCTTCCAATTATGAGGGGTTTTCAATAAAGACTCACAGTACTCCTTCAATACCTTTAATATAAACGTTTGGACTTTAACCCATTATTGGGGAAGGAATTAATGTGCTGCCTGCAGCACCCTATGTCGGCAATTAATTAATTTTACCAAATTTGTAGACTTTTACTCTAATAATTGTTATAGAAAGAAAACCTTAGGTAAAAAATTTATAATTCTTTCACCCTTTTGTTCACAGTAAAATTGTCTATAAAAAAGTGGTGATTGGACAATCAAAGTGTAAAATAAATAAAAAATAATAAAAATAAAAATTGTAAAAACAGTTTTTTTAAAGTCGACTTGATTTCTAAATTCCAAGATTAATCCAGACACCAAATTACCCTAGTATTATAAAGTTCAAATGATTCCCTACGTAGAAAAATCACAAGTTTTTCACCTAATAACATAGAAAAAAATTGTTTGTTTACCTTACCGCAGCTGATTTTGGGTGATATCTGGTTTCCATGGCAACCCAACCTTGTTGGTTATTCGCAAAAATAAATGAGTAAATACGCAAAACAAGAAGATATTTATAAACATCATAAAAGTAAGAAGAAACAAAGAGGGGGAAAAAGTTATGATAAAATAACTAGTGGCGCTGCGTAAGTCAGCCGCCGTACGAGTAACGCTCGTAAGTCGGCGCCAATGGATTTAACACTCGTATCCCCTTCTAAGTAGTTGCTGTTCAAAGCCACACACTTGTTCCAGCGCCTCTCTCTGCCACTCCTTGAAGAAGTGTTCAAAGCCCCCATTAGACAGAATAACCTTTAAAATCGCCTATAAAGTCTTAATAGTAGCAGTAGCAGTTGGAAAATGCCTGTCTTTGAGCTCCTTTTTGGCCTGAGGTTACAGACAAAAGTTGTTTGGAGCCAGATGAAGTCTGTAGGGTGGGTGTAGCCCAATTTTGATTCCTTTTTTGGCAAGAAACTGAAGCACAGTATTGGCAACATGGGGGGCGGGCATTGTCGTGATGCAGTTTCCAACTGCAGAGACTGAAACAGGTTCTTTCACTCATTTTATCACCCCCAAAAGCTTTTTTTCGAGTAGCTGTAAGTATCCGTGCAATTTTCTTCAGTTTTACACAAAACTTTATTCCATAATAAATTAAAATCAGTCATATTAAACTTTAGAGTAAAAAATTTGCAACTATATTTATTAATCGGTTGCCATGACAACAATAAGTATACTATAATGTTAACAGCTGATTTGGTAGTTGCTAATACTTCGACGTTTCATACATACTAGCTTGAAAAAAAAAAACGAATTATGAAATGAAATGAAAATCCTTCTTTATTGAGGCGAACTTAGGACCTCACGGTCTTTTCTTACAGTTAACCTCTAAAAAACTAACAATAATGATAAACATTAACAAAATAAAACAATATAAAGATTGAAATAAACAAATAGGAATAGGTGTAACAACATTACATGAATGTATTTCCTTAACACACAATCACACACAACACACACATACACTCTGCTGCACCCAGCCTAACGCACGCCTGGGTGCAGCAGAGGCTGTATGTGGTGTGATTGTGTGTTAGGGAAATACATTCATGTAATGTTGTTACACCTATTTGTTTATTATTGTAACCTACTTCGTTTGTTTGCATGCTCGCTACTGTCAGTCTTTATTGAACACCCCTCGTAGTTCTATCTAGTTTCATTCCATATTGGTGGTGGTTTTCAAACTCATTTAATGGATTGTACAAAAATGTTTATTTAGTTAAATATCTTGACATAAAACTAACAAAAATATTGGTTATTATTTTCAGCAAGACACTTTTCTAAAACCGTTTTTACACCAATACCAAAGTATTTGTCTAAACTTTAAACAGTTACCAATGTGACATGTTGTTGATATAACAGCAAGCTGCAGGACGTGGAGTCAGACAATGTAAGAGAGTTGGTCACTATGTTGCCCTCCATCGACATCTCCACCATCGACCTCATCCCAGAGTTGGAATGTGACGAGGTCTGTTCAAACACATCATATTACCATTTCCTAGCCATTTTTTGCTTAGTTCATCAATATAACCTGTATTTAACTCTTTATAGGCTCGTTTATTTGGTTGCACTTATTTAAATATTTTCCCCTTATTAAATTCAAATTGTTACGATATATTTTGATGGACAATACCTTGATAGCATATTCAGCTGATTTGCCATTTCAAACACTGGTAACAGTTTGGTGATGAAAGTCATGACCCCATGTAGCACAGATGGTTGGGCCAACGTTGGTAAATTGTGGAGCCACACAGATGGCCAACGGTAGAAATGTCACCTCTTTAAACTGATTTCCAACCAACCACTGTCCAACAATGGCCCAACCATCCAAAAATACTGATGGCCAACTAACCATAACACAACTGATATCCAACCAACCGTTTTATTTCACACAAAATAATAAAGACTAGGTGAAACCCGTCGAAATCGACGGTTACTTTCAAGGCTTACGTTTATAACTGCAATAAATTGGGTAAAATATACATATTTTGAGCAATTAGCATTGTTTAAAGAGTAATAAGTATAAAAACAATAATAATATTAATTGCGTTAGTCGCCAAATTTGGTTGATTATTCAATGAATAAAATATTCCACATACCGTACGTCATCGGAGTTATTATTAGTATGTTATCTGGTATCTCTTCCTTTGGAAGAACCTTTAAATAGTATTAAAATCGTATTGGTGGATCTTTTGTAGTTAAAAACTTCCGTGATTTCATCAGTGTAATATATGATTTTATTTGAAAAGAAAATGTTTTTTGGAAGACATATTCTAATTTTCAAAGGGAGGTATATCCGTTACAGTGTAAGTTTGATTTTTCCTTTGTCACGTCGCGTCAGTTCATATCGTACTTCTGTGCCAATGAATGAACCCTCTAGCATAGTTTTGTGAAATTGATTGTGGGGTTACTGTTAAACTGGAATTCCTTGACATGGGGATGTCAGTTAGTTGTCTCAGCCTTATCAATAACATAAAGTTGTCAATATAATCTCTCTACGGAATGTTAGGTGTAGTGAAATACTTGAAGTGGAGTTGGATTTTATTCTTGAACTGTTAGGGGCCTCATAGTTCATACGGCCTTGCGGCTTCCATTGGCAACAAATAATGCAAATGACATAACAAAGGGACATTTCCAAAAAGCAAAAATACTGTAAATTGGCTGTTATGTATATATTGACGTTTACATATTGTTAATCAACGTTTCTTATAAACGATTAGGTGATCTAGTTTAAAAGGAATATGACCTTTCTGTCATGACAGTAGCTGCTTAAATAGTATTTTCTCTTTGTACCATATTTAACAGCCAAAATGTCGTGTTATTTTCAATAATGTTACCAACCCAGTGCGCCAAAGTCCGTAATATAGGCAGGTGCAAATAATTTGTCAAGATGGGTACCATTTTAGGCAAGGATTCTATGTTTGGATTTTATTAGACACTATAAGAGCAGATATTTCTACACAAACATTTGACATGTGTAGAATAATATGATAAAATGTAGGCAAAAGTGATGAATAAGAAAGACACCAACCCGTATAATAGATATAAGATAGTTCAATAAGAAATAATTTAAGAATTGCTGTGATAATAGTATATTACGTTACTAGTCCTGAAAATAAGTGTTTACCGGACGAGTGTGGTCGTTCCCGTGCGAGACGAAGTCGAGTACGGGATTGCCATACGATTCCGGTACACACATTTTGGACGAGTTACGTACGATAGTTTACGCCATACTACTAAATCCGTACGAATCCTTATATATTTCTACCAACTAAAGGACTAAAAATCACTAGTCATAACCTCTCTTAGGGGTTATGTTTTTGTTTATAACCACTCATTGCCACCTAAATACAGTATAATCAGCTGATTGGTGTCCGGTAAAACTCATTGCAGTACAGTAGTACGCAATGAAACCCCATTTGAATAAGCTGGCGGCAAACAGCTGTTTTCTGGACTAAATCCTTGCGTGGGAAGTTCGTCAAAATAATGTAGTGTGGCGTAAAAGGATTTTCCACTGATTTCGTAATGGAACATATTGCAAAACATGACATGATAAAGACAAAAATCAATTTTAAAATCAGAAAATAACATTGCAAATACTTATTTGGTAGAATTCAGTACTGTAGCTCCCAATAAATGTGTGTTGTTTGAAATACAATTTAAAAATGAACAGCTGTTTTATTAAAAAGTATTATTCACATGGCCAAAATGTAAACAACTCTGTGGATGGATCTTTAAAGGCTTCTGGGGCAGAGTCCTAAGGGATTTTGCATAATTTTTCTTTTGATAACTCATCTACAGACCAAGACCTTTCTTTGGACACCACTACCAAGTTTCTACGCCCAGCCGTTCTCTCAAATTAGTGGGTTCAAAGTTTCCAATTAAATATTTAGATTCCCCCATGTTAATCTTATGGGAGAAACTCCAACTTTGATGGCCTGTGGGGCAAAGCCCGAGGGTTTTTATTACAGGAATTGGTGAAAGGGGGCGTCTACACAAAAAATACTTTATTTTGACACGTCGTTTGTAAAAATCCGTCCATTATTAACGGAGGAGTAGTGTTTTGTAGAAATCGCCTTCACGTATTATATATAAGGATTTAGTATGAAAAGCATAATTATTAGTTGAGTAAATTGATTAAATAGTTCATAAAAACAAACTTTGATAAAAAGCTAGAACAAAATTTTTTTTGCCCAGATGGGTCTTGAACCTGACACCTTCGCTTTATGAGCTTCTTCCTTACCACTGAGCTATCTGTGATGGTTGATATAGAGAGTTTTCTAGTGGTGAAAGAGTAGCCGACAGTTCCAATGGTCGCAATACTTATTTTTGATACTACAGTATATGATTCTGTTAATCTGTTTAGGCATCAAGTAGTTTTTTTCTTGGGAGTGAGAGAGAATACTGGTATTTGAATATAGATTATTTAATTACCGTTAGATCATTTATGTTATTATAATTCACTATTATATGATTAATTAATCTTTTCCTTAAATGGTTGCAAATAAGTTAAAGAATATTAATTAAAAAAATATTTGCATTATTATAATTATGTTGTGAAAGCTAGATCAAGAGAATGAAAGTCGTGTAAACTCAACTATGGACCATCGTTGGTCCAACAAAAGTATCTTTTCAACGGAGTGAAAAACGGTTGGACAACGGTTGGCTTGATGTATGATACCCAGCAATGCATATTAATGTATTTCATTAACAATGAACTAATGTTGGTCCACAGTTGTAAATATTGGTTGGCCTAACTACGAGATATACAGTTGGACAACGGTTGGTTGGTTGTGGAAGCTCCAACCAATCACCTACCAACTGTCCCACAATTTACCAATGTTGGCCCAACCATCTGTGCTACATGGGGGACTCAGTGGCAAATCAGTGAAAATTTATGATTATTGAAATAAAAACAAATTGGTTCAATTATGACAATCTGCTTAGACATGCAGATTGTTGTTACAGTTCTCAAAAACAAACCATAAATGAATCACTCTATCAATAGAAATAAAGGCTTTATTTATTTTTACTAAATGTGAACAAATATTTTCTATCTTGTTACTTGCAGGTGGAGCTCCCTTGTGATCATACAAGGAAGTACAGAACCATCACAGGCTGGTGTAATAACCTGCAAAACCCTCACTTTGGCAAGAGTTTTCAACCTTTCATCCGTTTGCTGCCTCCAGCCTACGAAGATGGTAATTAGTTTATGACGAATTGTTCATACTTAAAACTTTTACATTGTAGTTGATTTAGAATTAGTTCTAGTCTCTAATCAATTATTTTCAGAAAGTCCTTAAACAAAATGAGATTTTTTTATTCACATTTTTTATAGTATACTTAGGCCAAAAAGTAAAAGTAGTTTAATAGTTTAAATAATTCACTTATAGAAGAATTTTTTTCAACACTGACACACCCAAGAGGAGATGAATGAAGGATGAGTGTTAAACAAATAAATTAAGGCATTTTGATGCTTTAGTCTAATATCAGCTGGATCTAGAAACCATCATATGATTTTAGCTTTTCTCAGGAGTGATTTCGTCTGATTATTACTGAAGAACTACTCAGCTACTGTATTAGAGTCGGGACCACATAAGTTTGCAGTTGAGGGAGGAGCCTATTTATTTACCATATGTTTTGAATGAACCAATGAGAACCGTGCGGTGTTGCCAAATCTAATAATACCAGCTGATTTGAAAATATTGCTTAGTATATTTTAATTAGTGTTGTCAACGGCTGATGTGGCAACGTCGCACTAGCCTTGTCTTGTGATTTGGCTGCCACCAACTGCAAACTTACGTGGTCCCGACTTTAGTACCAGTTTACTCAGCTTACTTAGCTACCATTGTTTCAGTGTCAAGCAAGCCTCTGTCAAGTCCTAGGCTGGTGTCTCGTAGTATTCACACCGACAAGTCTAGACTATACACACCAGATACTCTCTGCTAATGGAAATGTATCACACTTATTATGTTTGGCAGGTTTGGGCAAACCCAGGTCCACACATCAGTGTCAGGCAAGCCTCTACCTAGTCCTAGGCTGGTATCTCATAGTGTTCACACCGACACGTCTAGACTACACATCAGATACTCCCTGCTAGTGGATATGTATTACACTTATTATGTTTGCAGGTTTGGGCAAGCCCAGGCCCACATCAGTGTCAGGCAAGCCTCTGCCTAGTCCTAGGCTGGTGTCTCGTAGTGTTCACACCGACACGTCTAGACTACACACCAGATACTCCCTGCTAGTGGATATGTATTACACTTATTATGTGTGCAGGTTTGGGCAAGCCCAGGCCCACATCAGTGGCAGGCAAGCCTCTACCTAGTCCTAGGCTGGTATCTCGTAGTGTTCACACCGACACGTCTAGACTACACATCAGATACTCCCTGCTAGTGGATATGTATTACACTTATTATGTTTGCAGGTTTGGGCAAGCCCAGGCCCACATCAGTGTCAGGCAAGCCTCTGCCTAGTCCTAGGCTGGTGTCTCGTAGTGTTCACACCGACACGTCTAGACTACACATCAGATACTCCCTGCTAGTGGATATGTATTACACTTATTATGTGTGCAGGTTTGGGCAAGCCCAGGTCCACATCAGTGTCAGGCAAGCCTCTGCCTAGTCCTAGGCTGGTGTCTCGTAGTGTTCACACCGACACGTCTAGACTACACATCAGATACTCCCTGCTAGTGGATATGTATTACAGTTATTATGTGTGCAGGTTTGGGCAAGCCCAGGTCCACATCAGTGTCAGGCAAGCCTCTACCTAGTCCTAGGCTGGTGTCTCGTAGTGTTCACACCGACACGTCTAGACTACACATCAGATACTCCCTGCTAGTGGATATGTATTACACTTATTATGTTTGCAGGTTTGGGCAAGCCCAGGTCCACATCAGTGGCAGGCAAGCCTCTGCCTAGTCCTAGGCTGGTGTCTCGTAGTGTTCACACCGACACGTCTAGACTACACATCAGATACTCCCTGCTAGTGGATATGTATTACACTTATTATGTGTGCAGGTTTGGGCAAGCCCAGGCCCACATCAGTGTCAGGCAAGCCTCTACCTAGTCCTAGGCTGGTGTCTCGTAGTGTTCACACCGACACGTCTAGACTACACATCAGATACTCCCTGCTAGTGGATATGTATTACACTTATTATGTTTGCAGGTTTGGGCAAGCCCAGGTCCACATCAGTGTCAGGCAAGCCTCTGCCTAGTCCTAGGCTGGTGTCTCGTAGTGTTCACACCGACACGTCTAGACTACACACCAGATACTCCCTGCTAGTGGATATGTATTACACTTATTATGTTTGCAGGTTTGGGCAAGCCCAGGTCCACATCAGTGTCAGGCAAGCCTCTGCCTAGTCCTAGGCTGGTGTCTCGTAGTGTTCACACCGACACGTCTAGACTACACACCAGATACTCCCTGCTAGTGATGCAGATAGCTCAGATAACTGACCACGACCTTACATTCACACCTGTTAACAAAGGCAAGTTCAGGAGGCCATTCTTTTCTCTGGTATATGTCTAATACTGTTGTTTGAAAAAAATATAAAGCTATCAATAAAGTGTGTATTAATATAGCTGCATGGTCCTATATATTGAATTTAATTTCAATTATGTTTTGTTTTTAAGTTTTGAAATTTTTCCAAATTTCAAGTTTTGATATTAAAATGATGGACTTACCATCATTTTAATATCAAAACTTGAAATTTTGAAAAATTGCAGAGTATTGTTTTGGGATTAAACAAAACTAGGCGTGTAAACTTATATATTTTGTGTAAATATAATGTTATGATTAATTATTGTATGGTTTTGACTTGAAATTATTGAAAATTCCTGCCTTTTGTTAGAGAATTTACCCAGGGGTAGCCTACCCATCCCCCCTAGACTCATGACGCAATCCCCCCCAATTGAGCAACAGCCCCCCCCCCTATATAAATGAGGTACACAATAAATGAGAAAGATTATTCCCCCTCCCAGCATTATTTGTAAAACTAAAAGAAGTTTTATACTTACTTGTTTTAGACATTGAAAATTCAAATGAGATATTAAAATAAAATATCAAATGTCAAATTCAAACCTAGTTAATCTATATAAATAAATATGTAGTTTTGTCAGTACATTGCTCAGAAATATACATATTTTGGGTTATTTTTACGTTCTATACATTGAAGAAATTGAAACATGTTTTATCTCAATTTATGTCCGTCTGTCACGGCCCAGATGGTATTTTACGCGGCCTACTCTAAAGAAAACTAGAGTACCGATTATGATTCTAATGATTTAATTGTATTCACAGGATTGGCGAGAGTGTCCTTAGCCATTAAAATATGGCCTCACTATTTTGGAAATAAAGTAACAGACGATCAAAAACACAATTTTGTGTGATTTTTCAAGTTTTTTTCTCCATGTTTACTACATACGTCATTTATGAAATGCTAATAATCTGTTAAGAGAACACGTCATATATGAAATTACAGAAACAGCTGTTTTGATAAAGATTCCTTTTTCTAGCTGTCACTGATGTTTACATAAATGTTGTTTACCAATACTGTGTAGAGGCCCTAACCAATTCGATCACGTTTGTAAGCAAATCCAAAACCAAGTGAGATTTATAACCGTGTGACTTTGGCTCACATAACGGGTTTGATTTATCACGGGTAATATGCAACTGTAAATTAAATTAAATAACTAGCCATATCATCCAGGCCGGGAACCGGAGATTCTGTGTGTATCAAGTTGTACTTGAATTTTGATTATATTGGGGAAAGACCGTGAATCAATGTTGTACAGGACTGGAAAACTTATCTTTCTATATAAATAAAATTAGAGTTTTATAAAGCTGCGCGCGCACTACGGCGGCACGGCACGGACGGGCGGGCGGCACGGCAATTTTTAAAAGTTAATAACATTGAATGTCATATGAGTGCGCCCACTACGGCGGTACGGCCGGCAACGGACGTTCGGCAGCTTCCGCCGTTCGTTAAAAAGTCCGGGAGACAGAACTCCAGGACATTTCCGAGCTGCCGTGACGCCCGTACCGCCCGTACCGACCGGGAGCACTGCACACCGACCGGGCGGGCGGCACGGGACATCCGCCATTCTCAACCGATCTCTGTCAAAGTAGTAGTGTTTTCGTGTGTTGTAAACATAGATGTTAGTAAGTTGATTTTTCTCGTTGAGAAATACCTGAAACTATACAACATGCGACATCCGGAATATTTTAATAACGTCCGGCGTGACAATATATGGGCAGAAATATGATCTATTATGAAACAATCAGGTAAGTTTTACACATAATCCTTCTACAAGATCAGGAAACGAGGTGTGGAACTCTCCAAAACTTAGTCTTTTCCTGTTTATGTGGTGCATCTAAAATCTTTGCTTGCACCTTCTTGTCTCCTCTTCCCCTGCTAAAATTAAACATACTATCACCACTTTATCTAAATCCATCTTTACTCAGAATTTTTTGGTCGCAGACTGTCAACTGTCCTAAATTGCGGATGTGCGGATGTCCCGTCCCGTCCGTCCGTGCCGTGCCGCCCTAGTGCGCGCACCCCCTCTTAAAAATGCCGTCCGTGCCGTACCGCCCGTCCGTGCCGTGCCGCCGTTGTGCGCGCGTAGCTTAAGTCACCTCAATTTAAGGAAAGTATTATTGCCAGAATATAGCGTTCGTAACCTCTGCTTAACAAATTGTCAGCGTCTTTCTCTTGATTTAACACAACCCCCTATCCCTCCCTTTTGAAACATCTCAGCTCCTTTGATGAAAATGAAAAGGAAACAACGCTTGCGCCAACAATCGTCTGCTCAGTCTGTCTGCTGTGCGCTATGTTACAACAGATTTGTGATACAACAGCTGGGGAATCAAGGCTCTGATTGAGCAACGAGTAGGCTTAAATAATGGCGACTTGTTGAATTTGTGTATGAATTGAAGAGAAACCTAATAAATGACAGAAGAACAAAGAAAAAGAATAACAAGATTGTTCTCGTTACATTATTTTTTTAAGAGTATTTTTACTATCTCTAAATATAATTTTACACTTTTTTAATACTTATCTATCAATTCCTATGTTGTGATACAGCACCTACCGGTAGCCTATCCGTCTATCATGAGCAGTAGCTTATAACACTTTCTAAGTTTTAATATTTACGTTATTTATAGCAATTCAGTGTTTGGCTAGTTATTAGTCGAGTTTGAGTTAGCTATAATTTTAAGCGTTGCTGTTTGTACAACTGAACCAAGATAAATAATTTGAAATTTCATAATTGCACAATAATAATGATTGTGTAATATTGAATTTCGTTTATAAAAATGCAAATCATGAGTTTTAATTTTGTTTTGTTTGTCATCTGTTTTTATACTATATGGGATTAACCACATTTTTCATTACCTCCCCCCCCCCCCCCCAATGGCTCAGGTAATCGAGTATCTACACAATAGTGTAAAGTATTGTAGCCTGTGCTACTAGATTGTATTTTAATGAGCTTTATGTCAACAAACAAAGCGTTCTGTGCTGAGTCACGGTGGAGCTGGACGTGTCTGTACCACACGTTATCTTTATCTATCTCAGCAGTTGAGCTATTCCTTGCCCTCCCTCTTAGATCTCACGTCTGTCTAATCTTGAATAATAACTTCCTACACGAATCCTAAACCATCCTAAAATCCTATTTTAACTAATTGAATTCAATAATATAACCATTGACATTAATTAATCCACTTTCTATCTGGTGACTTGTAAAATATTTTTGATTGTCGTCACGTTGAACCTTGTTGCAATCAACTTTAGCCACCCCCCCCCCCAAAATTTCAATGATGCAGTCTGCGTCACAGCCCCCCCTTGTGGGCACCCCTGATTTACCCATAGGGAAGTAGCTATTACCGTAGATGGCACGGTGACACCTAGGCCCGGGACCAATTTACTTTTTCATTTCAATGTCGACAGAGGCCAAAAAAACCATTTGTTCAAATTTTTATATATGTAGGTATATCCCAGACAGCACAGTTTATCCCAGGGACATCCCATAGTAGTCCCATATGTCCTGAGAATGTCTCGGGATATGTACGCTAGCCTCAGGATATCCCGCAAAATCCCGGGACGAGTACGAAATCCACAGGATATCCTACAATATACCGTAATGTCCCGGGATTTGTAAGTTGACCTCAGGATATCCTGTAAAGTCCCGGGATATGTACGAATGCCATAGGATATCCCAGAATGTCCTATGACATCCCGAGACATGTACAAAATCCACTGGATATCCCATAATGTCCCGGTAACAAACTGAAGAAAAAACTACTACCTCTGATGAAATGTATATATAAATTTAAATGTTCAACGAGGCCAATATACAGGGTGACAAAAAAGTCTGGAAACGGCTTAATATCTTTTTAACTAAATCCGTTAGAAAAGTCAAACTTTTAACATCAACTTACATGTATAAAAACTACTTTTTCCAAGCATTTTCATGTTTTTACCTCCACCAGGGGACGACCCGTAAGGAGTAGGTACAAAATCTTTAATGTAAGCATAGGTTGATATGCACACTATTTTAAAGGTCTGGTCAAGTGGAGTTCATTGCCGGAAACCACATCTCAAAAGGTTCATTCGTTACAAAATGGTGGCATTTCAAAGTTCTTGTGGAATATATCTTTACAGGCCTTAATATTGGTAAATAAATACTCGTATTAAACATTATCTTGAGAGCTGAAATTGTATTTTAAAGTCAACTAGCCCATAGACTAAGTTTATTCAATCTTCAAAACAAATTTAAACGGGTTTCAGATTTCCCGGCTTATTTTGACTATGAGTATTTACCATTACTAAGGCCTGTGCAGGTATATTCCACAAGAACTTTGAAATGCCGCCATTTTGTAACGAATGAACCTTTTTTGACGCGGTTTCCGGCAATAAACTCCACTTGACCAGACCTTTAAAATGATGTGCATATCAACCTATGCTTACATTAAAGATTATGTACCTACTCCTCGTGGGCCGTCCCCTGGTGAAGGTAAAAAAATGGTAATACTTGCAAAAAGTAGTTTTCATACATATAAGTTGATGTGAAAGGTTTGAATTTTCTAACGAATTTAGTTAAAAAGATATCAAGCCGTTTCCAGACTTTTTTGTCACCCTGTATAATAATTTGTTTTATTCACTAGCGCTTTCAGAAACTAGGTTTCCATCTTCAGGCTGTGTTTACACTAGTACAAAAAGTAAATATTTACTTAATAAATTAATTTTAAACAAAGTTAAAACAGATGATTTAAAGGATATTGAAAAAATAAAAAATAATATTAGAAAAATTAATCTTTTGAATTTTGGATATATATTTTGGCGGTCGTGTGGACATATCATTATCGTCTTCCATGATCGCGGCAATATATGAACATATACTGCGGCCGTGGGGAGATTATTATCGTTTACTGCGAATGAGGCAAAATTCTGATCTTTTCCCGCGGTCATGTGGTCATTATCATTGTTTTGCGCTATCGTGTTCAAATTCTGATCACCCCTCGCGACCGTAGAGTAATAGTAACCGCCTCCCGCGATTGCGGCAAAGTAATAATCTCCCCCGGTCTATGGAGATCATTGTCTTCCACGAATAGCAAGAAATCATTGTGTAGAAATCATTATTGAATCTCCCGAGGTTCTGTAGACATTAATTGTAATCAACTCCCGCGATTGCGGCAAAATGTTTATCATATCCTACAGTCGTGAGGAGATCAAGATCATCATCGTCTTCCACGATTGTGGCAAAAATCTTGCTATTTCCCGCAGTCCTGTGAAATTATTATCGTCTTCAGTGATCGCGGCAATATTCTGATCATCTTTTGCGGCCGTGTGAATGTGTAGACATATTATCGTCTCCCTCGGTCACAGGAAACGTCACTGTTGAAATCCGCGATCGCGGTAAATTGAAAATTCCAGTTAGAAATAAAAATTTACGCATAATTCCCGGCTCAAAAATTTCACGCATAATTCCCGGCTCAAAAATTCCACGCATAATTCCCGGGTTTCCCGGTCAATGGACACCCAAATATATTGCAAAGGCGCGCTACTATTAGTTGTGCCTAGGGCGCTGGCAGGGTCAAAAACGGGCATGAAACAACACGCTGTTGTCAAGACTACATGAGGTAGTACAAATCTGACTCAGTACCGAGTTCTATTTATAAAATAGCTAAAATTATACAGTATTCATTCAATTTTTAAATAGTTGATCAACAAGCAGTAAAATTATATATGATCATAGTTGGTATTAAAAACATTTCCAAATAAATTAAATTATTGTATTTAACTTCTCTTTTTAAAATATCTTTTTAGCATGGCATTGACGGAATACTATTTCACTTTGTTCCACTATAAATTTAGCCCTGTTAGTTTGAGTAAATAATTATATACAAATTCTTAATGTTTGTAATTATTTTTACAGGATTCATCAATGATGGTATTCTCAACTGCCTGTCTTGTGATTCTATGATCACTGTTCACCCACAATGCTTCCCTATACCGGTTCCTGAGGGAGATCCCTTCTTTCCCTCGGTCAATGACACAAATGGAGAGCCTTACTGCATCCCTGCTACCAGGTCCATGCCTGGTCAGAGGACCTTAGGTAAATATAAAGTAACTAGGTGAAACCCGATAAATCAACGGAATTGCTTTAAAGGCTTACGACAATTCTTCTAACTGCAACAAATTGAATGCACTATATTCATCAATGCATACAACAATGCATTGTTATTAATCAACGTATCTTAGAAAGGATGAGAATATCTACAGTCGTTCAAAAGAAACACGACCTTTCTGTAATGACAGTACCTAACTTCTTAAATGGTAAGTACTATTTGTTAAATTTGTTTTACAGTCGTGTAGTGTTATCTTCTTAAATCTCATTTAAGGCCAACCAAGTGGGCCACTGTCCGTACGAATACATCAAAGTAACATCTCTAAAAAAGTCTGCAATAAATTGCAATTTTGCAGATCAATGACTTTCTAAATCATGCACATATATCTTCATAAAAATTATTAAAAAATGTATCCATTTGCTGTAAACCACTATTAATTTAACAAAATAGGAACACATCTCATATGGGCAACATGCCATTCTGCACATGTATTATTTTGTATTGTATTACACTATCAAAATCTTTTCCAGTAATTGAAAACATGTATGGAAATAATCTCATGAACCTATGATGATCTGTCTTGAATAATATGACAAAATATCGGCAAAAGCGGTAAAAAAGGCAGACACCAACCCAACCCGTACAATAGATATAGGGCAATTCGATAAGAAATCATTTTAAGAGTTACTGTACTATTATTAAGATTTTCCAATGATTTTGTAATTGAACGTTATATTGCAAAACATGACATGATGCGGAACAATAGTTATTTGTGTAACTAGTGGTGAAAGTGGCACTTTGCTGCACACGAGAGCAATGTTTACGCACGAGCCGCAGGTGAGTGCGGAATGATCTCGAGTGCAGCAAAGGCCTTTTTCGCTCGTGTTACACATTATATTTTTCCTACAGTCACTATAAAGCATATAAATAATTAGTCTTTCAAACACTATACAACACGTTTAGGTTCAGCTGGCAACACAAATGGTGCCCTAGAGAAAGTAGTACCAGCGGTCCGTATCACTCCGCTATTTTTCCTCGGCAAGAAATGTGCTCCGCGTTTTGAGAATATAGTTCCGTATGTTTTTGTAATTTGAAGTGGTTTCCGCGCCTAAAAAAAATCCTTTAAAGGTATTTTCTTGTTTATTAAGATCGTAGGAATGTTTTAGAAACGTTTAAAAGAAAAGTCCAGAAAGTTCAGAAATACCGAAACGATAATCACGAAATGACAGGTTAAATCGTAGTTATAATTGTCAATCAGCTGCTCATAGTATTATTATCTTTAAGTGTTGCCAACCTATTTCCAAGCGTACACGGATTACGTGCATAATAGAACCACGCTGTTTTGTGTTGTTTCGTTGGAATCCTGATGTGCGGCAAAGTATAAACCGTACGGCAAAGTATAAACCGTACGGCAAAGTATAAATATGTAGCAATTAGCAGCTTTCTGTACTATAAACAGTACAAGGAAGCCAACTTTGTCGGGTGACTGTAGGAAAAATACATTTTTAAATCTGAAAATTACTTTGTTAATACTTCTTTTTGACAAACTCTAACTCCCTCCTATGCGTTGGTTAAAATACAATTTAAATATTAACAGCTGTTTCATTAAAAAGTAGTGAAAAATTATCCATATGACGATAATGTAAACAAATCTGGGAAGGGAACTTTAAGGCTGTTTGGGCGCTAGGCTAGTCTGAAGGTGAGGAGCAGTAGTTCTACAAGTCGCCACCGCGCGCGCTTGGATGTCCGTTTGGAGGCAGCGCTGTAGGTGTGTGTTTGAGCTGTCCCCCCTCACCCCTCCTCTCCTCACGCGACACACTGCATCACTGCTTCTCGTATACGCGAGGCCTGGCACGGGCACGGCCCGTCGTATCCTCGGTACGGGCTAGCAACCCTAAACCAAATCACGTTGCTAACTGATACAAATTGACTATATTATGTTTATTGGTGTTTGCGCTTACTATTATAGTAATACTTATTAATGTATCAATAATTAATCTGTTTTTTAACACACTGGCTGTAATAGGGTTGCAGTAATAATATTGATATTTGAAACTAAGTCACACAGATATTTTTTTATTTGCCAATAAGATACAATAAGATAGTGAAGTATGATTCATGTCTAAGGCCCCTATTTATTCGCCCTTGAGTTCGCCCTCTCTTTTCTTTCCTTTGAATACTTTGCTTCCAGTATGTAAGGTGGGTCTCTACATTTTAGACCACGCTGGATGCGACTGTTTGCTATCTCTGGTAGCATACACTCCAAATAGAACTGAGTTACCTGTAATAAGTTCCTACATATATTATAATTTATAAACAAAGAGAAAGAGATGTAAAATGTGAGCAAGTATGTTCAAACAATAAATAAATAAAAATCTTATTGCTAAATATTTATATTCAATAGATATAATATAATTGCTATCGAATTGTTTACTAGCAAAATCATTGTTTACTTAAAAATCAAATGTAGGTTTACTAATCTAAAAAATAGTTTTGTTCATAAAATAAAATTATAAATGCCTAAAATTCAATTTTATAATTTTTTTATTATAAAATTAAACTGTCATAACCCAACCAAACTAACCAAACGTGCTGATAATGGAAAAAATTGTTGACAAAAGGTTTATGCTACTAACGGAATTCGAACCCGGTACATTCGGATTATCAGCCCGACACGCTATCCACTACACCACGGAGGCCGATGGTTCATATACGTCTCGTTGCGGTAATGGTGTTCCCTCAAAGTGACGTCGTCAAACGGCACCTGAGAAATCTTCCGTGTGCCGTTTTGCGGAACCATGTCGTAACAATCAATAGACGCTTATATACTGTACATATATCATAATAATGTAAACAATTTAATTATGGTAAATTTTTGTCTGGCAGAAGTCGTCATCACGGTTTATGTGTTAGGTTTTAGAAAGAATAGTTTATCTCTCAGCCAATCACCCCCTGAAAGATTGCGCACGTAGGCCAACGATCACAGCTATCACAGAAGTGCGCGGGGGGGGGGGGGGGTGTTAGGGTGCGTCAGTAGAGAGTAGAAGGCACGCCGTCGCGGGTTGGTGTTCAGTGGCAGGGGCAATGCACAAGGTCAATGGCACCTGCCTCTAGACCAAGTTATAAGACTACCAACGAAGACTACCCTCCCCGCACTGCAATTGACACTGCTTACACGTTGGGAGTTTTTGTAAATAATTGAGGCATTGTTGAAGTAAATAGCAGGTATTCTTTGATTACAAAATCAGTATAGGTACTGAATTATGAGATTTCTAACTGCAAAACCAGTCAAGATATAACACCCCTAGTCACTAAGCCATTCAATAAAAAATTTAACTGTTTTTTTTTTCCCCAAGTAAGTAAAAATTGTCAGGGTTTTCATGCAACAGCTATTTTTATAATATTTTTTTAATATTCTTGTAATAAATATTAGTGCCAAAATTCTTGATCCCAACCAAGGGTTATTGTTATTAAAATGTGTGCATATTTAGTTATTTAATATTTTTGTGGATTACATTTGAAAATGTTTACCTTAGGTAGGATTTTATTGCTCCAGAAGTCATCGTCCCGGTCAATTCGCTCAACAAATAATGGCGTCGTTCTGGTGTAAACGACGAAATCACACCATTTTTTGTTACTAATATGTAACTGCCCTTGAATCTGAAATGGAATAAACAACGGATAATTTTATATATAATATTACGAAGGTTACAGTTTCAATTTGGAATTGATCTACATTATAGGCAATTGTATGTACCTCATTTAGGTGGATCCTTTGCGAGGTTATTTATTTACAGTTACTTTATTGATTTATTAGTTAGTTATTTACCTGGTAGTTGTAATTATGGTGTTTTTTTAGGTGTATCTCGCCGTTTCTCATTTCTAGGCAGAAATCTTTCTTCTTCATAGTTTTGATGGCTTCCTCCAGAGTATTTTCTTTTACCGAAGGCAAACACTTGACTTAAGTCCATCGTCACCCACGAGACCATCAGGACTTGCTGCGAGATACGGCGCATCGGGATAGACGAACAGTCCACATTTATGGACTATGTTGCTTGTTTCTTTTTCGTAATGTTCAATGGCCACATCCTCATGGGCCCTACCAAACAGAATGGCACTACTTTTCAATTCCCTAGGATATAAAATGCTTTTCACTAGGTTATGGCAGGATGTCTGTGGTAGTCTTTTGGCTACCACACCAAATTTCGAGGCCGTCAATCTATTCATTCGTTTGTCGTGCCAAATTATGTTGCTGTGCTGGCCCACAGTTTCTCTTTCAACACTTTCTATCTCGTCAGCTGCCAGTGTCCGCAGGATGTCGTTTTTTTTTCTTTCCAAGACTTCTTCTTCGACCTCCGGTTCGATTGTCAAGGGGCCATATTCACAGTCGTACCCGCCTTGACGCGTCTTTTTTTTGGGGCACCCTTTTTCTAGGTACATTAAACGTCTCTTTATTCGCCGTTTTTCACGAGAGCCGATTACTAATTTTGTAATCCTTCCCGGACTCTTTTTGTTTAGTCGTTTCAGTGGACTAAGGTGCCAAGTAGGCCCGGTGGTATGAGATAGCCCAGCACCAAAACATCGCACCCTGTACGACCCACGGGAAGTCAAGTTCAAACGTTTTCCTCCAGTAAACTTTGCTACCAAAGACATGTATTGCTCTGCCCTATTAGTCGTTTCATTTTGAACTAAACTTTCTGCCTTGGACTCAACTCTCCCAAGTTGTTTTCTTAATTCGGAGAGGAATTGGCTGTCTAGCATGTTAAGGGTGCTTTTCTCTTCTTTTCTTTTACAAAATTCACCTCTACACTTTCCATGATCACCAAACACGTGGTCAATGCAGTTCTTGATGTCGTGTCGGAGGTTGTCGACGTCTGTTTTACTTTTTGTTACTCCAGCTTCCTTTATAGCAGTGCGCACACCTGAAAGAAGGTGCAACAATTGTATTAGGGAGTTCCTAGACATGGAATAATCGAAGGTGTTTAAG